AGCTACACTAAATTGGAGCCAGGGGCAGGATAAGAGACAAACACTGACGCTGTTGCCATGGCTGTTCTAGAAGACAAGAGATTAATCTATTGCTCTGTGAGGTGGCAGGATTGCTGAAGGAAATTAAAGAGAGAGAGCGCAGACCAAAAGTTGCATTCTGCAACTTTGAAAAGAATAGCTCTTTTGGGAAAGTAAATGGCATGTTTTAGCAGTAAACATGTTGGGGATAGAGTGATAAAATAACCAGAGTTATTTTTGAGGTAGAGATGGGAGATTGCCAATTAACTTGAGGACAGGTAATCCTCGATTTACCACAGTTCATTTAATGGCTGTTCAAAGTTACAGCATCACTGAAAAAAGTGACTTTTTCACACTTTTTTCACACTTATGACTGTTGCAGCATCCCATTGTCATGTGATCAAAATTCAGACAACTGATTCATTTTTATGACCTTTGCAGTGTCCTGGGACCATGTGATCCCCTTTTATGACTTTCTGACAAACAAAGTCAATGGGGAAAGCAGATTCACTTAAAAATTGTGCTATTAACTGAACAACTGCAGTGATTCAGTTAATAGCTGTGGCAAGAAAGATTGTAAAATGGGGTAAAACTCATTTAACAAATATCTCACTTAGCAACATAAATTTTGGGCTCAATTGTGGTCATAAATTGAGGAGTACCTGTAGTAAGATTTTGAGGAACGCTAAGTGTATAGTACCAAAGGGATGAGTGCTATACCTAGCCTATGGAACTGAGTTTGAGAAATACCACATTTTTGGGAGTATAAGATGCTCCAGAGTATAAGATGCACATTAGTTTTTGGGGAGGAAAAAAAAAAAATCTGCCTCTGCCTACCAGCATCCATCGGTATTCATCTGGCTAGCGTCCTTGAAGCAAGCAACAAACAGCCTGGTCAGTTTCAGCATGTTATTGCAGCCTGATTCAGCATGAGCAGCTGATTGGCGGTTGGATCGGCCTCCCGGAATACCACCAATTAGCTGTTCCAGGCTGTGGGGATCGTCACAGCCCACCTCCGCCTCTGTGCATCATATTTTTAGCCTCCGCACATTGCATTTTTGACCTCTGCATGCTGTTTTAGATGCGTTCCAAGCTGCCGGGATCACCATAGCACATCGCCGCCAATTGCTGCCTCCGTGCATCGTGTTTTTGTCCTCTGTGCGTCGCATTTTCAGCCTTCGCATGCCGAATTTTTGGCCTCTTTGCATCATGTTTTTGGCCCATTCGAAGCAGCAGGGATCGCCACCCCCGCTCCCCACCACCTGGAACCGGTTGAAAACATAACGCACGGAGGCCAAAAAGGGGTGTGTGAAGGCCAAAAAGGTGATGTGTGAAGGCGGCGATGTGCTGTGGAGATCCCTGCAGCTTGGAATGGGTCTAAAATGGGGCATGCGGAGGCCAAAAACATGACGCAAGGAGGCTGAAAAAGGCCAAAGGGTGGGAATCGGCGGGTGGGTGGGGCTTCGGCAACATTTGCTATGTAAGACGCACAGTCATTTCCACCCACTTTTTTTGGGGGGGGAGTGCGTCTTATAGTCCGAAAAATGCAGTTCTCAAATTATTGTTTCACCCACCTCATTCCTTTGATAGTAACGGCACCTTTCAGAATCCATTTTCAGCTTGTATTTCCCAACCATGCCTGGAGGTCCTGGGTGTTAGATTTGGCACTTTTGTATGCAAAGGAGATGCTCTCACCTATTGCCATCTCACATCTAAAATGTTAATCAGTCCACAAGGAAGGATACAAGCAGCAATAGTTGCTTTACGTATTGTTAAAAGGGTTACAGGGGTACATTTTGGGGACTGGTTTAATGAAAAGAAAGACTAGGGGCAACATGATAGCAGTGTTCCTGTATGTAAGGACCTGCCACAAAGAAGGGGGAGTCAGCCTATTCTCCAAAGCACTGAAGAAATGGATGGAAACTAATCAAGGAGACAAGCAACCTAGATCTAAGAAGAAATAGACAGAACAATTAATCAGTGGAAAGACTTCCCTCCATAAGTTGTGGGTGGTCCATCATTGGAGGTTTTTAAGAAGACACTGGACAACCATTTGTCTGAAATGGTATAGGATCTCCTGTCTGAGCAGGGGTTTGGACTAGAAGTCCTCCAAGCTCCTTTCCACTTCTGTTATTTATTCTTTAGCAAATTTCTATAGTTGGAATGTCTACAATGCAAGCATGCATAATACCCTCCTCCTGCATTGTATGTGTGATCAGCAACTAAATTAGGCAAACAACACAAAACAACTGCTGAGATAGGTGGGAGTTGCCATCCTTTGCTCCAGAAATGGCACTTTCCCTGCCTCCTGATGCATTTTTCATGCAGGGAATTTCAATCCTTTGAGACAGAAGCACAGGATATGGCAAGTACAACTGTATTTGTTCCAGCAGATCTTGATGACATCATAGCTTCTTCCTCTTGGTTCTCTTCATCATTGATTGCTGGATAAGATCTCCCTCCCTCCCTGCTCTTATTTGTGCATTGTGGTTCTATTTGGCATACAGAATTTAGGGAAATTAGGATAAATGTGTATTGGCTGTTCCATTGCCTGCACTGGAACACTGACATGTATCCTGCTATATTACAAAGATATAAAGCTCCCTTACATCAGACCAGGAAACCGGTCCATCTTGAGCAAGACGGTCTATTTTTTTTGTATCATCTGCTCTTTGAGACATTGAATTGCAGCTGCCAGTGACTGAATCTGGGAACCTTCTGCATATGTAAATCATAATCTGTACTTCCCTGCAATAGTTTCCATCTGGAAGGTGTTCTGAAGGAAAAGGTGCCTCCTCTTCCTACTTTAGTATAAAAGGCCAACCATTTCAATGTATCTTGGGCTTTCAGCCATATGGATTATGATCAGAGAAAAATGAATAATTGTACAGTTCTTAACCAAAGAAATGAGAGAATGAAGTTGGAGCAAATGTGATGGGTCCAATCTGGGGTGCCAATGTGGACACAGTTCTGCAGTGTGCATTATACAATTGGATTGCAACATCCACAATTGAGGAAACTGCAGCCCAACCACATTCAAAGGGTACCCGATTAGAGACAGATGGTCTGTTGATCCACTTTCAAGTCCTAAGATCTGAGCTGAATTACCAAAGCAAGACTGAAGACCACTCTAAGCCCCTGACAGAGCAACACAACATTTGAAAAGCTTGCAATAAATATTGTTGAGAAAACATCAGTCATGATTTATTAACCTGACAGCTCAGTGTTCACACTTCAAAACTAGGACAATTGAAGTTGGACTTTAACACACACACACCCAAGCCAATATTGATTAGCTGGAAAAAAGCAAACCTGACCACATATTTCCTGTATCTTTCCATTTAATGTTCTGTGGTCCCAAAGCTCCAGAATGAGCTGGATGACAGCAGTTCTGTGTCATTCACCAGGCTTTTTCTAGACATTCTGGCTACAGATGACTGCAAAGGTTTAAAAATAAGCTTTCCATAAATAGATAAAGAGTCAGGACATCTTCCATAGGGACAATAGATCTATTCCAGCCTTCTGAATAAGACCCTTTCCCCCCAACTTCCTATAGTTTCCTGCTAGATTTTTGAACAAGCACCAGTCCTCTGAAATGGCTGGCAATTATTCTCAGGATTGGGTCACAATTATATCCTTGGAAAGATTTAAACACTCAACTGCAGGATCATGATGAAGTCGCCTTTCATTCAAGAAATGATGATGAAAATATTTTGGAATTTTTAAGTTTGGAAGGAGAAAAAGAACGCATGTGTGCACAGATTATTTTAACCACATTTCCCACAGTCCCTTTAGGCCTGATGGGAGTTGAAATCCAAACCATATGGATAGCAAAGTTGCTTACCCCCTAGGGTGGCCCAGTTAAATCAGTGAGCAAAGAAAAGAAATTAATTTTTCAGGAGTAGTATTCCCAGCTAATAATAAGTTACAGTACAGGTAGACCTCAAGTTACAGTCATTCATTTAGCAACCATTTGAACTGTCGGTTTAAGATTTGTACCAAGTTTTCAGCCACTGTATTGTTTATGTCTATTGTGGAGGTGTGTGTGTTGATGAGTAACAGTTTGGTTTGAACAAACTAAAGAGAAGCAGCATCTTTTGTTTAGCCAGAAATGGCTTGCCAGCATGTAGCAGGAGTTGCCCTGGAAATTTTATGAGCAAGACTTGGTTTAAGATGACAAAAACTCCAAATTACATTTGGAATTTTCTACTTTGTATTTGCTTCAGAAACACTAAAATGAGGGATCTTGCAGAACTCAGATATATTAATTCTCTATCTAATCAATTAGCATAACTGACATAACAATGGGCAATTTTTTCTAATATTCTATCCTTCTACCCACCAATTTTTACATTTTTAATAATGGAGGCTTCAATCAAAGTCAACAGAGAAGATGGACAAAATCAAGAACAGCACAGTTGGTTATCTTGAATCAACAGGGCTGATTTCATATCCTGGCCCCTCCGGCATGTGATTTGAATGCCAAAGGATCATACATTTCCATGGACAATCTCTTTGCATGCAAAAATATCCAGATTCAGTTTTGGCCTTGACATTTAGAATCAAGTAGATTAGCAAGCAAAAGAGCTTTTTGCCTGAGACTATGAAGAGCCTCTGCTTAGTAAGTCATGATTAAAAGAAAGAGTGGCTTCTTATGATATATGAGCCCAACCAATGTTTTATGGAAGAATCTACAACAAGCTCCTATGGATCTTACTGTTGACCTTGGAATTTAGTTTGAAAACTGCTGCTCTAATTCAAAGAGGTTTAAAATTACTGCAAGCATTGATTCTTCTTCAATCTAACTAGGGATTAGATTGAAGAAAAATCAATACTTGCAAGTAATCGATTCAGCTGAAAATAGCAAGAGGATACAAAACTGTAGCCAGTAGCCTAGGCACATTTGTTGAGTTTCCTCTCTTTTGCCATCTGCACTCATGACTTCCTTTGGAAACATGACTCACCTAATGAAGTAACAGCAGAAAATAAGGCTGAGTACAAAGATGAAGACACCTGTGCCAAAAATCACCATGTAGATGTTCAGAGGCAAGTCCTGGAAAGTGATGGGAGGCATGGTGCACGTTTTGTTGGTATAGATCAATCCCAGACCACAGAAGCATCCTAGAAATGAGAAAGAGAGGGGGGTAAAGTTGTATTTGTACCTAATGCTAAACTAAGATCTACTCTAACTACAATTGTTTGAATGGGCGTTGGTCTTACCTGATACGCCGCTTCTAGTCACTAGGAAACGCCGGTCACATGAGGGATGTGACTTATCCAGTTACTCTAGGACCAAGTCTACCAACAAAAGAAGTCCCGCCTCTTCCTGTATCCAGTTTGAGACTAGGACGAACGGTAGACTGTCGTGTCTGTAAAGATAAAAGAGAAGTAAAAAATCCCCAGGACCCACCCCGTCCTTCAACAGCCAAAATCCAGCACGAGGGGTGCCAGACCAATTGGGAGGGGGTGACCGGCGTTTCCTAGTGACTAGAAGCGGCGTATCAGGTAAGACCAACGCCCATTCTCAGTCACGGAGGAAACACCGGTCACATGAGGGATATACCAAAGCCCCTGTACCTATTGGGAGGGAGAAGGCCAGCACCGCTCTTGGTCCTGGGAGAATACCCGCTGCAGCACACGTCGCCCAAATGAAGCTTCCGCCGATGCATAAACATCCAACCGGTAATGCCGGATAAACAGAGACGGAGACGTCCATGTAGCAGCTCGGCAGACCTCCTCGAGAGAAGCTTGGGTAGACCAGGCAGCCGAAGTAGCTGTGCTCCTGGTAGAGTGGGCTGTAACACCACGAGGCACTGGCAATGATTGAGCTTCGTAAGCTAAGGAAATGGAAGCCCTGAGCCACCGACCCAAGGTAGTGGAAGAAACCTTTGACCCCATGGACTGGGGTTGGAAAGACACAAAAAGAGCCTCAGAACGACGAAAGGAAGACGTCCTGGAGATATAAATCTTGAGAGCCTGACGTACATCAAGCTTGTGCCACACCTTTTCCAGGCGATGATGGGGGGAAGGGCAGAAGTTGAGGAGAATGATCTCTTGAGAGCGATGGAAGGCTGTATTGATCTTCGGAATAAAAGCTGGATCCAATCGTAAAACTACTCGATCAGCATGAATAATACAGAGATCCTGGCAAACTGAGAGAGCAGCCAACTCCGAGATTCTCTGAGCCGAGGTGATCGCTACGAGAAAGGCTACCTTAAAAGACAAAACCTTCAGCGAGACTTCCTGGAGAGGCTCAAAGGGAGGACCAGTAAGAGCCAATAGAACCTTGTTCAGGTCCCAGGTCGGAAACCGATGAACGGCCGGAGGACGTAGATTGGCAGCGCCTCTGAGGAATGAACGAATGAGAGGGTGAATGGACACAGACTCAGCGGTGCCGCAGGTGAGGATAGAAGATATGGCAGAGATTTGCCTCCAGAGAGTATTGGGAGAGAGTCCCGACTTGAAGCCATCCTGAAGAAAACCTAGAATGTCAAGAATGGAAGCAGCAGTAGGAAGAACCTTCTTACGTCAACACGAGGCAGAGAAGGCCATCCAAGTGGCATTGTAAATATGGTTTGTTGACCCGCGACGAGAGGCCTGGATCGTAGATATTATTTCTGAAGGAACCCTGGCCGAGGACAGGAGGAACTGCTCAACCTCCAGGCGGTCAGCCGGAGCCACTGAGGATCTGGATGAGCTAGGCGGCCTTGCCACAGAGAGATCTTGTCGGCCGGAATCTGCCAATGGGGAGCGACGGAGAGAGCCATCAGATCTGCAAACCACGGTTGTCTGGGCCAGAAGGGTGCCAGAAGGATGAGCTCGGCTTGTTCCTGCAACAGCTTCCTGATGACCCTGGAGATGAGGGGAAGAGGTGGGAAAGCATAGAGAAGAAGACCACAAGGCCACGGGCTGATCAAGGCATCCACAGCCTCGGCCCCCTGGACAGGAAACCTCGTGTAAAACCTCGGGAGCTGGTGGTTGGATTCGGACGCAAAGAGGTCTACTGCTGGAAGACCAAAGCAATGCACAATGTTCTGGAACAGAAGTGGATCGAGGCTCCACTCCGTCTGTTCCACCACTGAGCGACTGACGGTGTCCGCCTGTACATTCGATGACCCTGAGATGTGAGAGGCGTGAATGGAGGCCAAGTGACTCTCTGCCCACCTGAAGAGACGGGAGGCTTCCCTCATAAGAGCCTTGGAGTGGGTCCCTCCTTGCCGGTTGATGTGGGCTTTGGCAGCTACGTTGTCTGTTCTGATCAAGACATCCAGACCCCGAAGGAGAGGAGCGAACTTGCGAAGGGCCCGGAAGATGGCTCTGAGCTCCAAGATGTTGATGTGAAGTCCCCTCTCCTGGACCGACCACTGCCCTTGAGCCAGATGAGACCCCAGGTGAGCCCCCCATCCGAAGAGGCTCGCATCCGTGGTGATGCTCACTCGCTGAGGAACTCTGAACAGGCACCCCTGAGCAAGAGCTGGAGAGGTCCACCAGGCCAAGGACCGAAGAACTGCTGGGGTCAAGGGAACTCTGGCCACTGACGTGCTCCTGCGAGACCGTTGAAACGGAAGTAAAAACCACTGAAGTTCCCGGCTATGAAACCAAGACCAGGGCATGATGCCGAAGGCAGATACCATCTTCCCTAACAAGTGGGAAAGACCCAGGAGGGAAAAAGAGCTCGAAGCTTTAACCTGACCTGCCAGTTCAACAATACTGTCCTGACGTTCTTGAGAAAGGGAAACCTGCAACCTGACAGTATCAATAACAGCCCCCAAATGCTGGATGCACGTGGAAGGAACTAGGTTGCTCTTGGAACAATTAACCAAAAAACCATGGGACTGCAGGGTTTGAAGGGTGACCTGAACATCCTCATTACCCCGAACCTCAGAACTAGACAAAATAAGAATATCATCTAGATAAAACAAAACTCTAACAGGAAAAGATCTCATATAGCCTGATAAGGCAGCCATGATCTTCGTAAAGACCCTGGGAGCCGAGGAAAGGCCAAAGGGAAGGGCTCTATACTGATAATGCCTACCCTGATAACAAAAACGGAGGTATTTCTGATGTTCCGGAAATATGGGCACATGAAGATATGCCTCCGTCAAGTCGATGGAGGACAAAAAATCACCTGGACGGATAGAAAGGAGAATGGTCTGGAGGGATTCCATCTTGAACCGACGATAGACTATATATTTGTTCAAGGATTTAAGATCCAATATGGCCCTCTAGCCTCCTGAAGCCTTGGGAACTAGCAACAAATGAGAGTAAAATCCCTGGCCGACTTCCCCTTGGGGAACACATTGAACAGCCCTAATCTCCAAAAGATGTTGAATAGCCTCATCTAACAGAACCCGCTTGGTCCTGACATGGGAAACTGGGCACCTGACAAACAAGCTAGGAGGAACAGAAGAGAACTCAAGGGTCAAACCAAATCTAATCGTACATCTAATCCAGGGGTCTGAAACTGAAATATCCCATTGGTCAGCAAAGGATGCTAACCGACCTCTAATTAAGGAGTCAGGGATAGGTGAGGGAGAACTAACGGGACCTACGGAAGGGACAGCCCCTACCCCCCCTGAAGGGCCTGCGGGAAGGGAAACGGGACCCCTGCCTGACCTGGAAATCCTGCTGTTGTCCACCCCTGGGCTGAGAGTACCGCTGAGGCCTGGATTGGAAGGAAGAGAAGTCAGAGCGAAAGGAATGGGCTCGAAAGGAACTCTGCTGACGAGGATCAGATCTCCTCGATAAGGAGGGCAGAATCTTGCGATGATCCTTCGTCTCGATGAGAAGTGGATCCAATGCTGAGCCGAAGAGGTTGTTCCCCGAGAAGGGAGCCGATGCAAGCCTCCACTTGTTCCGGACATCCGCCTGCCACTGACGAAGCCACAGAAGCCGTCGTGAAGTGACCGAAGCCCCGATAGCCTTCGCTGAAAACCTGGCAGCATTCAGAGCAGCATCAGCAGAGAACTCAACAGCAGCTATGACCTTGTTGATGTCCTGGTGAGATCATACATCAGAAGAAGGCAGCCGTTCCTGCAGTTGGCGAAGCCAAAGGATGGAAGCCCTGTTAAAAAAGGAAGCGGCCAAGGAGGCCTGAATGGACCAAGCTGAGGCCTGGTGGTCCTTGACCAAGGATCGCTCAAACTTCTTGTCTTCAGGGCACAGGGATTCCTCTGACGGGCCAGTAAGAGGAGATGCAGAAGAGAGAGCCACGACAAGTGCATCTACAGAAGGAACTTGAAGGATGTTAGCAAAATCAGAAGCCATATTATAAAATCTTTTATCTAGACCATTAGGAACCGGGCCAGAACTAGGAGAAGACCACTGTCTTTGGATGACATAAGAAAACAGCTTGGGAGCTGGAACCACCTCTGCACGAATGGAAGGTTCCTGAAATAATAATGATGAAGAGGGATGCTGAGATGAAGATGTAGAAGCCGCCCCTTGAGTGGAAGAAGCAGAAGAACTTCCCAGGCCAGTAACATTTTGAGCTTTATATAATAAGAATCTGAATAACTGAGGCTTGAAAAGCCCAATGAAGGAAGGCTGGTCTGGTTCCAGACCTTCATCATCCGAGAGATCTTGATCCGGGGCAATTTCCCCCTCAAATAGGGAACCTTGACTTGCATTTTCCTGGGAATCCACCCTTTCCTCACATTGCACAGGATCAGCAACAGCCTGGGCCCTCACAGAATGACTCTGCTGACTCACATAACTGGAGACCTCAGAAGAGGCCCTTTGCTGCAGGCCTTCAGCAATACCCTGCCTAATTGATACTGAAATAAGTTCAGCTAGGGCAGGAGTTAAACACAAAGAAGCCTCAGCCCCTTGATTGCTGGATTGAGCTGGAGCCTCAGGGGGTTCTTGCCTTGGAGGGGCTTGAATAGACACAATTGGAGATAGAGGCCTAGCAGCAGGAAATACAGAAGAAGCATCAGCAGCCACATGCTCCCCCAGAGTAGACTGATCAGGAGAAAAATCATGTTCAATTTGAATTTGAGAAGGGGGAACAGCCACATTAGAAGTGGGGAGGGCAGATGATTTAGAAGGCCCCACAGCAGAAGACACTCTAGAGGCCTCTGAAGCAGCTTTTTGAAAGACCTTTTCCATGGCCTTATGCCTCCTGGTCTCTTCCCTTGATGATGCAGCAGGATTAGCACTCTTGGAATGAGTGGATCTAGTAGAAACTCTGGCTGCCTTGGGAGGAACAGGGTCCCCTGAGGAACCTTCCTTAGGATCAGAAGTATGGCCCCTTTTTCCTTTGCTCTGGGATTTATTGCCCCCAGCATCTGCCATTTTGGAGCAGGAATTTACTTTTACAGCTCAGAATGAATTGCAAAGGAGGGAAATCACCCTTAAAAATCCACCCACAGGGGATAATTGGTGTTTCAGGTAACTCACTGCGCCAGGAGAGAAGCAGAGAAGAATCCAGAAGCCAGGATGGATAAACAGGAGGCTGGAATGGCCGCTAGCCAAATGGCTTAAAGGCGCGGCAAAATTAGGCGCGGAAAAGCCTTCGCGCCACAAATCTGCAGCCACAATGCTCCAACAGCAGCAGGAGGCAAGGAAACCTCTCCAAACGCCCCAAAATCGCCGAAAACTGCTGTAAATAGGCGCGGCGGTGCAAACGCACGTGCACGCTGCTGCGGGGCTGCTCGCGGCTGCCGGAGCGCTTCTAGCGCTCCCCAGCTGATTTCAATTAAGTTTAGCCGCTTTTCTTGTAAAACGCCAGCAAATTAAGGAGAACGAAGCAGAATAGGTAGAAATTAGCAAACAATGGCCAAAAAGCTCTCCCACGTGGAGTTGAAGAGAGAGCTAAACAGACACGACTGTCCTCTACCAGACCGAGTCGAAAAACTGGATACAGGAAGAGGCGGGACTTCTTTTGTTGGTAGACTCGGTCCTAGAGTAACTGGATAAGTCACATCCCTCATGTGACCGGCGTTTCCTCCGTGACTGAGAACATGCCTGGAATAAGCTAGGCTCAATCTTGTGGATGGACAAAGTTCCCAGAGTCTGTTGAGCTAATTTTAGAATTGATATATCATGATATTATCTATCTATCTATCTATCCATCCATCATCTATCTATCTATCTATCTATCTATCTGTCTATCTATCTATCTATCTAATCATGATATTGCTTGGAACATTTCAGAAAAAGTGAAACTTATGTTGATGCTACATCTGATATCCATGCATAACATTCTTATGTGGCTACTGGGAACTCAACACTAGTACAAGGTTCATTGGCACCAAGTACAAACAGATTGAGAGAAACCATGTAAATTTCCCTTGATCCTTTAGAACACTGTTGATCTCTAAATTGTTGGAAATTTGAAAAAGATGGTGACCAACACAGATTGGGTGATAACTCTATTGCCCTTAAGTCAAGTCAGAAAGGGTGCCTCAGGAAGAGGAGAAGGTGAAAGCATAACAAGCCTTCTCTCGACAATGCCCAGAAAATCTACTTGTGCTAATTCATTAAGGAACCAAGGAATGAATTTTGTGAAATTGGGACAGTAATTGATCATGCAACTTCTAAAGCAGAGATGGGGAGTCTGTGGCTCTCTGGCTGTAGAACTCCTCATATCCCCCATCACTAAGACCACAGAGAGGGCTTGCAATCGGGGTGTCCTCCTGGATGCACGGCTGTCTTTAGAAGAGCATATGACGGCCGTGGCCAGGGGGGGCTTTTATCAGGTTCGCCTGATTCGCCAGTTGCAGCCCTTTCTGGACCAGGACGCCTTGCGCACGGTCACTCACGCCCTTGTCACCTCCCGGCTGGACTATTGTAATGCTCTCTACATGGGGCTCCCCTTGAAGAGCACTCGGAGGCTCCAACTGGTCCAGAATGCGGCCGCGTGGGTGGTTATGGGCGCAACTTGTTGTGCCCATGTGACACCCCTCCTGCGCGAGCTGCACTGGCTCCCAGTGGTCTTCTGGGTGCGATTCAAGGTGTTGGTCACCACCTTTAAAGCGCTCCATGGCATAGGACCCGGATACCTTCGAGACCGACTTCTGCCACCAATAGCCTCCCACCGGCCAGTTCGCTCCCACAAAGAGGGTCTCCTCAGGGTGCCATCGGCCAAGTTATTTCGGCTGGCGACACCCAGGGGTAGGGCCTTCTCTGTGGGAGCCCCAGCCCTGTGGAATGAACTGCCCCCGGAAATACGTAAGATCTCCGACCTCCGGGTATTTCGCTGTGCACTGAAGACCCTGTTGTTCCGCCAGGCTGGGCTATCAACATAATAATTTTAAATTGGGGTATTTTAAATTTCTGGGGTTTTAAATTGAGCCAAATTTATTTAATAATTTTATATTTTTAATTGATGTTTGTCTTGTGTTTTTAAATAGGCTGTACACTGCCCTGAGTCCTTTGGGAGAAGGGCGGTATAGAAATAAAATTATACTTATACTTATACTAATCATTTTCATAGATGCTACTGGCAATGGTAATCCATCAACAATTGGAGGGCACCAAGATTGCAGTTATAATGATAAGCAGAGATGGATGCGCATTTATTTTCATGCATTTAGCTAAATAGACCTATGGTGCTCAGGGTATTATGTCATTTAAAATGGCAAAGAAAAAGACAGATGGAAGAGACCATGAATACCAAGCAAAGCATTCCTTCCTCAAGGAATTGAGTAGCAAAACAGTTGAGGAATATGCACAGAGTAACCCTTGAGTAGCAAGGGTGTGCATATGAGAAATGGCTGAGAGTGATAATGAATAAGCACTGTCAATACACAGACACACTGAGTTGTGATATTCTTTTACTTTTAGGAAAAAGTAAAGCAAAATCCAATAAAAAAATCCAGGTCATACACAGATAAAGATAGTTAAAATGTCAATCCAGGGATACTCCAAGAACAAAGTCTTATTACCAGTTGTTGTAGTCATATGCAATAAAACAGTTCTTTTGTAGTTGCAAACAGGAACAAGTACAGCATTAAAACAATCAATAAAATAGTAGAAAAATAACAAGTAGCAATCATCAAGCAGTGATCATGCAGAGAAAACAGGCAGAGAGGAGCAGAGGTAGCAATTAATAATGTAATAATAATGTAATAAGAAATAAGCCATGATTCAAGCTTCCTCTTAAGGACATTGGCTACAGAGCTAGCCAATCAGAATACAGTATGATGCAATACAGCATTACAGTCTTAAAGCTATACAATACCTTTTGACTGCAAACATGCATTGATGGTTTATATATATTGCCAACCCAACCAGTTAGGCAATAGCCATTCCCTAACAAAAACTATGCAACATATGGTGTATGTGCTGGTAGTTTATATCTTCTAACCACAAAACCAGACCCAGATGGCTATGCCTTGAAAAGAACTCTAGTATCCGAGGCCATCAAGTAAAATAGTAACATAGAATTTTCCTCAGCATCAGCTTAACCATGACAGTTAAAGGCTCAGAAGACCTTGCCTCCTCTTGTTACAGTCAATCTGGATATGTTGGATTAAAATATCATCCTCACCAACTAAGATGCATGCTAGCTGGAGGCCATAGCAATTAGACTTCCACGGTTGAAAGCAGTTACAGAAGCCAATGGAGTCAACTTCCCCCAGACCAAAGTATGAAATGATGAAAGCCCAGTCAAATGAACTATTTAAAGAAATGGTACAGAAATAGAAACTGTTGACTTCCGGTTTGGCATCATGGCGAGACAGTCGGGGAAATAGTGGGCTCTGATGAGTCCTGCGAAAACCCCGGCTGCCAAACCGCCGGCGATGGGTCTTCAGACCGGAACAATCCTGCAGGGAGGGGGAAAAAGGCGGGGCACCTTGGATGACCAAGAGGAATAGGCAAGTTCCTCGGAGGTCAGAGGGAACCCTCTGAGAGTTGGCGGCGGGGGGAGGCAGCCATGGAGGCTGCCACGAAGCTGGGACAACTGGGCTAAGAAAAGTGCTGGAGGAAAGTGGAGTGAAGCTGAGCTCTTTGAAGCTGGGTGAGTGACAACAAACCCAGGCTTGCAACAATGTGTGGAGCAATATTATTATTTAGAAGACCCCTAACCTAAAATAGCAGCTGTGCAACAAAGGGGCTTTGGAAAGTTTTAACTGCAACCCTAAAGAGACAAAGACCTGAGAAACAATTAATTTTTGAACAGAATGAAGGGAATTAATTATTGAGATATGGTAAAAAGACTGGATACTTTAAAATTCGAATTGGATTCTAAAAAAAAAAGATTAGATACTTTTAAAATTAAAAGAATAATTGCACAAAATGAATACTTGTATGACTAATGGAAAATGTGGATTGTAGAGACACCATCTGGTTTAAAAAGAAACTTTGTAACTTTTTTTTGTTATGGAAAATTCTGAGCTTTACCGATAAAAGCCATGGGACTTTGCGGAGGAGTTTTTTTTTCCTGTCTGCAGGCAGCTGGATTTTGGTGAAAAGAAAAGGAAATTATAATGGAACTCCTATAGTTGAAACAATAATAACTAAAATATTGGTGCAGGAACAAAAGAAGGATTAAGCACAGGCTCAAAAGAGGGAGACTTAATACATTATATCCGGAATAAAAATAAGAAAAAGATTTAATATGATTTATGAAGGACAAAACTGAAAACTTTGAAAATGGAAGGAATATATCTTTGCAGGCGAGGAAATGAAGAAGTAAGATAAACACGACTGGAAAAAGAAAAAAGAAGATTTAAACAATGTGATTTAAAATAAAATAATGTAAAGATGGATTGTAATAATAAAAAGGAGGTTTTTATAGAAATTAAGAATGTTAAGAAATTAAGAATATATTTAAAGGTATGTTTGAAGCAAGAACCATGTTTCAATGTTAAATTGTTATGAAAAAGAATAAGGATAAATATGATTAATTAAAAATGTTAAAAGGAATTTATAAATATATTTAAAGGTATGACTTAAGCAAGAAACATGTCTCAATGTTGAATTGCCATGGAAAAGGATAAGGATAAATATGATTATTTGAAAATAAGCAATGCATAGATGGATGGAAACAACAAAGAAAAGACTAAGAAGGGATCAATAGTTAAACCAACTATGATTATGCTGTGTTTAACAGCCCAAAAATAAAAATGGATATGCTGTGTAACGGCCAAGAAACAAAAATGAGTATGCTGTGTTAAACAGCCAAAAACAAAATGGTTATGCTGTGTTTAACAGCCAAGAAATAAAAATGATTGGTTTAACAACAAAGATAAAGATGTTGGGTTTTATAGCAAAAATAAAATGAGGTGGGATAGCCAAAATAAGGAGGAGTATGTTGAAATTAATAGTTAAAATGAAATGAATAAATTAGGTTTAATAACAGAAATAAAGATTATAAATGTTAAGTTCAATAGTAAAAATAAAATGATTATGTTAGAATTAAATATTTTATGAATGTTTACAATAATTGTATGATTTATACTTTTAAAATATATCCATCTAAGCAAATGAAAGAGAAAAGGGGAAAATGATAATTGGTTAGGATTTAAGATTTAAGTAACGGGTTTTGGGGATAATGGCATAGTTAAATAGACAGATTTGAGGGAAATAACTGAGTAAAATATTAAGTTATGTTAATTGAAAATTAAGATTTGTTAGTGATTTGTATTAATTTGTGACCGGATCAAAAGCTTTGTTTTGAAAAGAAGTGTTTTATGTTTATGTTTTTTAAAAAAATAATAAAAAACTTTTAAAAAAAAGAAATAGAAAGTGTTGATTTCATGTAAAACGCAGATCATCTAGGAGCAATAAAAGGAAGACTGTCTTAAAAGCCCTACAAATGCAACTCAAAGCATCAATACCAGGTTAGAGGCAGAAACCCATAAGCAAGGTATGCAAATGAATTGAGAGAGGAGATTTCATCTTGAAGCAGAGATAATTAAATGCTAGCCATTCAGCACCAAGCAACAGACGAAGAGTAGAAAAGGTGATTTTTCAGGATGAATGCACTGTTTTAATTATCCAAACAACAAGCATAGGTACATATAGCACTTGACCTTTGCTTTCCCTGAAGAGAGCAGAAGTGGCAGAAATAAGGCAGGAATTTTAAAAGCAAGGAGAACTGGTGTACTTATTGAGTTGCTGAATGCAGGAATGCTCTGAGTCCCAAAGCAAGAGGGGAAGAGGGGTTCTCCTTTGATAAAAGACCTTATTTTGCAGAAAAACAGCGAGGTTTCCTTGTCTTTTCCAAAACACTTTTCCTTGGATGAGCTTCTACATTCTTGCTTCCTCCTCAGTGGTGTTGGGGAATCACCTTGGTAGCAAAAGCCAATTTGCAGGCTGATGAAATGAAAACAGAGGGGTGAACAGCTCACTTTCTCCCAACCATAGCAGAGGTTTGCCAGGATGATGAGTCTCAAAAGGCCAAAAGTTAGAATCAGTTCTGACATCTCTCTGGCCTTAATCCTGTCCTGTGTCCCACTAGTGGTAGGTTTCCACAACCATTAGGTTGAATAACTGTAAAATTATGGCCACCACCTATGACAACAGCATTCCTGGAGTTCATTTCCACTCTCTTATTAAAATACATGATTTTATTTTACTTTTCTTTATTAAAATTATATGACAGGTCCTCAACTCGAGGAAGTAAATTGAAAATCAAAATACCTCACAGAGGGCATGATTTGCTCAACTCAATTGAAAGCTGCTATTGACTTTGGCTCAAATAGGAAACTATGTTTAAAAACCTTTGTGGAATAAAAAAGTTTGATTTATCTCCTAGTACAGGGTCCTGCAACCTTAAACACTCAAAGGGCCATTTGGACCCGTTTCCCACAGAAAAGAGAACACCGGGAGCCACAAAACCTGGGTCACTCCCACCCAGTCACATGACAGACACACACACACACACACACACACACCCCGGCCATGCCTACCCAGGTTTTGTGGCTCCCAGTGTCTTCTGGGGGAAATGGGTCTCTCTCTCTCTCTCTCCTTCCTTCCTTCCCTCCCTCTCATTTCTGTTTTTCTCTCTTTTTCCTCCCCCTCCCTCCCTCCCTCCCTCTTTCTTTCTTTCCTTTTTTTCTTTTTTTCTTTCTTCTTTCTTTCTTTCTTTCTTTCTTTCTTTCTCTCTCTCACATTTGTATCCCGATCTTTTCTCTCTCTCTCATTCTTTCTAACTAACTCTCTCTCATTTCTCTGTCCCTCTCCCTCTCCCCTTCTCTCTTTTCTTTCTCTCTCTTTTTCCTCTCTCTTTCTCTCCCTCCATCATCTTCTCATTTCTCTCGCTCTCTTTCTCTGTTTTTCTCCCCTTCTCTCTCTCTCTCTTCCCCCCCCCCCACCCTCTGTCTGTCTGTCTCTGTGTCTCTTCTCTCTCTCTCGGAAAGCTGAGGCTGGGCCAACCCAGTGAGCTCTCCTTGGGGTTCTTCACTATTCCTTTTCTTTCCTCTTGGCAAATCCGGGCTGGCTGAGGAGGGAGCACAAGCCGGGGTGGCGGCAGCTTCGCTGAAGATGACCATACTTTTTCTCCTCACATGACCCCCCCACTTGCTTGAGGGTATCCCCGCTTGTGAGTGCCCTCCCAGCCCTGCAACAGCTGGCCAGGGGATTGCGAAGCTGCTGCTGCAGCTCGTGCTTGCTCCTCAGCTGCTGACCTGTCCCCCTTTTATTATTATTATTATTATTTATTATATTTCTATACCGCCTTTCTCCCGTAGGACTCAAGGCGGTGTACAGTCAAGAAAAATATAGACACACAAACATCATAAAATTGCTAATTTCCGTCATACCCTCCTCCCAGATCCCATTCCCACCCCACCAGCTCTCGTGTTAGCAAGGTTGGCATTGGCCATACCAGGGTTGGGCCAGTGTCTCGGGGCAGAGAGCAGGTCTCATGACTGGGTCAGCAGGGAGCCTCAGGAGAGGGGTCAAAGAGCCACATGTGGCTCAGGAACCGTGGGTTGCCAACACCCATCCTAGTACTTCTTGACAGTTTCTTTAGTTCCAACAATTGTGTTTTAGCTTGACTGGCCCACGTGCTATTTGGTGCTTCTGAAGTTCTGGGAAGGTGGGAAATTTTGAAGGAACAAAGTCCCATGCTTTGTATTTTAAAGAAAATTAACAATCTTGTTCTTGTTCCTGGTAAATAGTGTTTAATTGGTCTCCTAGGATCCTAAACTGAGATAAACACAACAAAAATGTTTGTGTAATGGACACCTCAGAAAATGCTTATTAAAGGTTGGTTTGGTTATAGTTAGAATTCTGCAAACCAGTCAAAGAATCTAGGGGGGTGTTTACTTTTTCACACACACATCACATGTTGGTTTATGAATGAATCAACCACTAAATTTGATGTCTTGCATCATTTGATTGCAAGATCTTGCCAACATATAAAAGCATGAAGCTCTGATAGCATCCAATGGCACAGATATGCACAGAAAATAAAAAAGGAAGCAAATACTGGTTACAGAACTGCAAGAATTGTTTTTCAAATGTGATTTTTTAATTCTTCAATAAAAGGGCAAGGAACACAATATTTTTTTGAAAGTATCCTGTAAATAAGCTAACTTTTGAGGCCTTTCCCCTCTATTTCTTTGTTTTTATTGAATTGTCATGATTATTAGTTTAGAGGTTACATTATATAAACAGTGTTGCCTGTTCTTAGCTTGCTTGTTACAATGAAATTGAATTTACTGCCTACCAGAATAATCATAGTTGAGCAAGACTGATATGTCTATTTCACATCTGAACCATTTCCTATTTTCCCTAAGATCACCTCTACAGGGATTCTGAGAAGGGAAAATTGCATTCAGAGAAAACACCCAAGTTAACTGGGATTATGGTTCTTCAAAATCTAGATCAACATGGCCAAAGGCCCAGCACCTGTGGCAGGTACCTGACTGAGGAATGGCTGTTTAAAGAATGCATGATATTCTAAGTTAGAAGATGACTATAGAGCAGGGGTCAGCAACCTGCAGCTCAGGAGCCGCATGTGGCTCTTTCACCCCTCTGCTGCGGCTCCCTGTCACTCAAAATATGTGTCACAACTGCCAATGTGCAAAATCTGCCGGCATGCGATTTATTGAGCTTTTCAACCCCTGGTAGGCCAACCATGGATAAATCCAAGAAAAGAAAAATTTCATAAGAAAACAGAACATTTAATTCAACTACATATGCTAGTTTTGTGGCGGCTCAAGAAATAGTCAGGCACGGAAAGGGTTTTGTGGCTCCTGGTGTTTTCTTTTCTGTGAGAAATGGGTCCAAATGGCTCTTTGAGTGTTTAAGGTTGCAGACCCCTGCTATAGAGGAATTATCACTGAACTGATAATATACCAGAACTATTTCCATACATCTGCTTTGGTTTGTTTTGAAGTTATACCTGTCCTCTTAAGATGAATATCCAAATAATAGTAGGAAACTGCACAAGGAAGGGAACATTGCTACTTCTTTAATAGGCCACTTCAATAAAAGCTGATTAAGCACGTTATCTAGGGGGAGGCACAGATTAGTTCAATTATTGCAATATGTTCTACAGCAGACCCTCAGAAACAGCTTAGTACAGAATTCAAATCCATTGCTCCGCAGTAAAGACAATTTTTCCAACTGCTGTAGAATTTGAAAGATACACAGAAGCTTTTCCTCAATGGTAGCA